TCTTTCCCTTAAACCTGTCAAACCATAAATTATATAAGTTTTGGAAGAAAAGATAAAAGCATCACTCCACTAAGAATGACAGAACTGGTAAACAATTACCCCAGCTCCCTTGCCCTTTCAATAACAACTCATGGGCATGTTCTGTATTGTTCCTTGGGGTTCTCCACACGCGTAGAGGCCCAACTGCTAAGACAATAACCTATTCTTTAAGGTACCCTGTAATGGTTTCTTTTTTCTTTTCTTTGAGACAGGGTCTCACTATGTAGTTGAGACTGACCTGGAACTCACCATGTAGCCCAGGCTGGTCTCAAACTCACAGCAATCCTCCTGTCTCACCCTCCCAAGTGCTGGGATTACAGGCATGTGCCACTTAAGCCTGGCTTGTAATTGTTTCTTTTATCTTTTCCCTTTTCACTTCCCCAACTCCACCACTTTCTGGATTCATCTTTCAAATGAAATTGTTTCAATCAAATGTGCAATTCCACAAAATCTAACCTGATACAACTGATAAACATAGTTCTATTCTTAGTAGGTTTTCTTGTTAAAAAAAGTACCTCTCAAAAGTTGTGGGATGACTACAGAATCAGAACAAAAGGAAAGAGACTGGCTAAAGGGACTGATCAACAAGCAAGGGTGACAGATTTTTCATTAAAATAAGAATCTATCTTTGAAACAGTGAAAAGAAAAGGAACTACAATTGTAAAACATATGAAAAGATGTAAATTAGAACTACAGTGAGATACTATTTCATCTATTAGGTATAAAACTATATAATGTAAATAGGAAAACAGACTTCCATGTTTATTCCTGGAATATCAAAATAACGTAATATCTGAAGAGAATCTGCTAAACAGTGAAAATCTCATGCACATCTGTGTTCTCATGTAAAAGAATTCTTAAAATATATGGGGTTTATACAGGCAATGGAATATTATACAGCTCTAAGAAAATTTAGTAGAATGAGTGAAAATTATATGCACATTTATGTTCTCACATACAGTAACTCTTAAAATAGCTGTGGTATATACAAGCAGTGGAGTATTATGCAGCTCTAAAAAGGAGGACTATCTTTACATGATGCTATCCGCTATCTTCCAAATATTAACTATACACATATATTTGCTTATTTTTTAAAAACCAACAAGATAGACATAGTTGTTTAAGAAAAAGCAACATAATTACCTATTGCAGAGGAAGAATGTACCTTAATCTGAAGTGGTACAGATATTTAGTAAACTTGTAAAACAAAATTAAATCTAAATTTTTAAATCCTAACTTCTAAAAGTGAAACAAATGGCTTAACTACATCTCAAGTTGGGGGCCAAAGAAAACACACACAAGAATTTAAGCTCATTAAAACAGCACATTCAACAGTAAATCCCAGTGGAACATATGCAAAAAATAAAAACAACTGTTACAATATTGGTGGTGCTGGTTTAAAGTACGTACAAAAAATATAGAATGTAAAGTACTCATATATATTTAATTATACATTATATTTGGTGTTTAGGTTATATTAATATAAATTAATGATTCATATGAATAAATCGTATATACTTGTATTTCCTTTATAGTTCATATTTAAATTTTTCCTAATTGATATATTCATGTACTGTGTATACTATATATCCCATAAATATATAAAATATGCTCATGTAAATACCATTAAGAGGTTTTTCATCACAAGAAACAAGTAAAAATATGGAATTTACATTTAAAAGATTAAAATCACAAATTTGTCTCAGAACCACCCTGCATAAGCACTGCTTCCTTCGGCCAAGAGAAACGAACAACCAACCACTAGATTATAGCTCTAAAGACTGCTCTTCACTAAAAATAAATAATAACAACAACAAAAAAGAGGACCTCTGGAACAAGGAACACCATGTATGAGATTAAGAAGGAAATCTTGTTACATGAGAGAGAGCAAGGGTACTCTCAAAAACTACTGGTAAAACATCAAAAAGACTCAGGAGTCAACATGAAAAAGGCTCCTTTGGCCAAGGCAATCTGCCATCAATAAGCATAAATACCACAATACAATAAAACATAGCAAATGTTCAAATCCAAAAACTCACAGGAATATTTAAATATTCCGGAATTAGCTTAAGCCATGAGATCTAACTACTGATCTGCAAAAAAAAAAAAAAAACCCTCCCCCAAAAAACAGAGAGGAACATTTTATTACAAGATGCAATTAAAATACAGAATGTGAGAAACTTTACAGGACAAATAAAAGTAAAAATATTAAACAGGAACACATAAAAAGCAACTAAATAAATATAATGTATAGATTTTTGTTGACATTCTATAAAAACGTATTTAAGAGCAGTTCAAATCAACAACTAAATAGATATAAAGCTATGATATTAACAAATTTTTGTCAATATCACACATACACTAAGATAATCACTGTTAAACAAAAGTGTTATCCAGGATGTGAAGAAAATGGAACGCTGGTACATTTGGTAGGAATGTAAATGAAATAACAGCTTTGGAAAACAGTATGGAAATTTCTTTTTTAAAAAAAATCAATAACAACAAAAAACCTAACATTAAAATCACCATATGGCCCCACAATCCCTCTACTGGATTGCAAAAAGAATTCCATATGTACTGAAATCACAATTTCAAAGAGTGTTTTCACATCATGTTCGGTCATGAATTGTTTATTTCTGGAATTGATTAACCAAAGATAACTGAAACCTCAGAAAGCAAAGTATGGATAAAGAGGGACTGACTGTTGTACTCCATAGCAAAGGTCTAACCTGGAATACTACGGCATTTCTGAGGTTCCTAGGAAAAGCACCATTTTTCAATCAGTACTTATAGATTTACTAGCTCAGTATTCAAACATAAAGAGATGGCTTAAGGGTTCTCAATAGTACAAGCATGCTTGTTTTAATCCTGGCCTTCTTCATCTCTTAAAACAAACATATATACATACACACACACACACACATATACATGTGTATATACACATATGCACGTTATGATTTATTTGGTAATTGTTACTTAACAATCTGTAGTCATCAGTATCATTTTCACAGTGCTCCCAAGTTGAAGGGAATCATTATGAAAAACTGTGGTTAACAAAATGTGATCATATATACATATATATATATATATGTATGTATGTATATATACACACACACACACAATAAGCCTAAATTTCTGTGGTTGTGGTACAAAAATGATTTCAGAGATTTTCAACAAAATTGGTAGCTGTGTTTGTGATTTAATTTCAAATACAGTCTATTAACTGTCCCTAAAACAAAATAAACAAAGACAGTTTGTTGGAATGGCACATTAAAAAATTCACTGAAGATAAGCCTCAAAAGATACAGTAAATGGTTAATAGCAACTGCAATTCAGCCAGCCAACAGGGATGTGCATGAGGCCAGGGAGAATATGTCACTAAGAAAAAGACTCTAAAAACCAAGAAAATTAACAGGCTGCAAATACGAACTTCAAAAAGCCAAGAACACATACTCCACAGCCAAAACTGATTTATCATCGAGTTACTTCTTTTATAAGACAAGCTCTGTGGTACTAACGGAGGAAAGAGCAGGTTTAATAATATTAATTAATGAGTTACCCAAGCAATCTAAAAGACCTCATTTCAGAAATTAATGAAACACCAAGCCATCCTTAGTGCTAGGTAAAGCTGAGAAAAAAATACTTTTAAATTTTCTTCAATTTCCCCTATCAACTGCTAAAGCTTGGGAAGAGTTAAGAGGGAAGAGGGAAAAAAGATAAGCGATGGGCCAGCATAGAAAGGACCTACTTTTTCCTAGTAAGAACTCAGAAGACAAACTGAATTAATGGAAACTCTCCACTTTACCAACATACCTGGAAGTCCATCTTTAAAATGAATCATCTCCTACGAATATTTTCAGAGGTGTCTTAGTCTAGCTCTTGCTAATTTTTAATGGGTTCTATTTCAGACCGATATACTATCATTTCCCACCAGTCTATAAACATTAGTTTCTGTAGCTCTCTGATTTAACACTTAAAACTAAAATCTGATTAGTAAACATAATTAAAAACTTTGGCAATGCACTATAAAAAATATTTTTACACAGGTGTTAACTTTTTAAAGTAATGAACTCTTAAAATATAAATATTAGGGTTAGGATATAGCTTAGTGGACAGAGCATGCATATAGCATGTGTAAGGCCCTAGATTCTATCCTGAACACCAAGAAAAACAAAAGAATAAAACTTCGTTCTCCTGCTATTTACTGACTTCCTCCCCCAAATACATAGCATTGCTATTTAGGTAAAAGTCAGTTTTTGTAAAGAAAAGTCATTCTGAATTCTAGCTCAGTGGCAAGTTCACTTAGTCTACAGCTAGAATGTACCTCCAAAATTTAAACCAATTCTATTTTTTGTAAGAATAATTGCCAAGTCATGACAGATTCTTAGCACATTCAGAAAATAAAATAAATCCCAGAGCTTCACTAGAGAGTCCAGTAGTTTTTCTGCTTTATCACACGACTGACATTTATATTCCACAATGAAAGACTTTGAATCTTTTTAAATAGATAAGCACAGTTATCTTTAAAGTTATTCATTAAATAAAAATAGGTAGAATTTCAGCCATTTAGCGACACACTAACTAAAAATATCAGGATTAAACACAATATCCTAAAACTTAGCAAAATGAACAGAAACAGAAAAGCTGATGAATTTTTTAACAAGAAAATTTGTCACAGAATAGTTCACTTGACAAAACACAAGTTCATCACTGTATATTTTTTATTTTGATAATCTAGCTAAGAGGTTATTGAAAGTACAAAAAATGAAAAATTTCAAGATAGGGGTTTTTGTTTGCTCAATACTCAGGTCATTTTAATTACTTTGAATTACATTTTTAAACATGTATTTTGTCAAACTGTTGAGAAAATTTCAAAATTCTCAAAAAAAATAAAACAAGGAAAAAGAGAAGAATAAACAGCTATTAAAACATGCTGGCAATGGGAGCTGGAGAAGTCTTACCATTGGCAGTGCATTGATGTGGGGACGTGCAACTGAATATCCCGTTCGGCCAATCACAAGCTGCTGTGGCTGATGAGAAAAAAGGAAAAGAAAATATTCAGTGTGCCCTAGAACAAACTGAGTTTATGATTTTTCATTCCAAACTTTGCATTTAAAATAATCTTTATACCTTGAATGTCCCCACCAGTGAAAATCTTCCCAAGCAAAACTGCTATCATAAACAACAGCAACAACTAAGTCCCTAGTATGTAATCAGTGAGCAAAGTGAGATTCAAAGAGATGCATTTGCACACAGGGTGCTCTCAAACCAATTAATTCAACTCATTTAAATGTTATCGCACTAGGGACCAACATACTATAATATGATCATAGGTCATAAAATGACGTAATCTTGCATTCTACATATTCTGATTAATAAAGAAAAATAACTTGTTTGAAACATTATCAGAATGTGTTAATCTGCACATCTTCAGAGTTTGTCTTTTACAGGGTTTACTCCAACCATTCTCAATCAATGAGACACAGTACTCCATGAACCCTCTATGCAAGTGTAAAGTTAATGTTTTACAAAGTGTTTCAGAGAGGGGACTCAGGTGGAATGCTGAGAACCACTGGATGTTCCAACCTGTGCTAGAGTGAAGAACATTTTTTTTTCCTAAGAGTGACGGAGTAGGTACCAAGTTGATGCCATAGAAAGGAGTGTTATCATAACATTTACCTCCTATACCAAAGAGGTGAAATCAAGTGCATAAACACTGAGAAGGTAACTAAATAAATATTCTGAATAACTGCAGAAATATTTGTTGAGGGAGAGGGGTTGTTCTGATATGACAGTTCAATTGCCCAAATTAGCCATCTACTTAAAGATCAGGGGTCTCAGCCTCTCAAGTACCGTAGCTAGGATAATAGCATGTGCTACCATACCTGGTAACAAAAATACTTTAAATCCCCTGAAGTCTGATCCTTTCTATCTCCCCCATCTCCATTTTGTTTGAGTGGAACATACACGTGTCCTGAGGATTGACACCATGGCCAATCCAAGTAACTTTATTGCTATTCATACTACTTTCAAGTAGCTAAGTCATAAGGAGATCCGGGAGTTAAAAGATAACATCTATGAAACATATCACATGCTTACTGAAATTATAGATAGATATGCCAATACACCATACCCTACCAACCCCTGATGAATCAGGATGTTATGGGAATCAATTCTAAAGTTTCGGGCAGAAGACACCATGAGGAGCTAGATGTTAAGATCCTTTTAGTACCCGTAGACAGAAATGTTCTGTAGGCATCATTCAAAAAATAGAGACCACTAGACTCTATTCACCTCAAGGTTATTATCCATGAAAATCACGTATTTTTTACCATAAAGTTTTCGTGATTTTAGAGCTAAAGCTATATAGTGCTGCTTGTTATCCAAAAATCAGCAACACATTCTTTTTTGTTTGTTTTGTTTTTTGGCACTGGGGATTGAACTCGGGTCCTCGTGCTTGCCAGACAGGCAGTGGAACCACTGAGCTAAATCACCAGCCCAGCAATACATTCTTATCAGAAAAAGTTTTTGGCACATGCACTCTATTCGTCCATAAAGAATTAACATATGACACTAAGATAGATACCCAAATAAAAGTAAATAACAAAGAGAAATGCCTTATGTATTCTCTTGTGCTAGTCTTTTTTTTTTTAAACGTAACTTTCTGATCCTGTTGGTCTTCTTCAGGCATAATTTTCTCTTAGAAAAACTCAGCAGTACTAAAAGTTTATTACCTATGTTTCAAACATCTTTCTTGATACTCAATGTTGTTAAGATATCTTCTAAAATTATTAGATCATTTCATAACAGGCGAAGAGTTTATTTCTGTAATTTATAAGCATCAGATCTAGCAGTCTTCAGTTTCCTATTTTTGCTTCTATGTGCAGTTTCTTTCCAAGAATCTTTTTGTGAGATTTAGTTAAAACTAGACAGTATAATTCCTAGGTAATTAAACTGAAGTAAATAAGTAAACCTTCAATAAGCTGAAATATATGGGATATTCTCAAAAGGGAATCATCAAACAACTGCCACCGGTGCCTTGTGGGATCCCTGCTCTCCCCTCCAAGAACCTCTGTGCCGTGTGTTATACACGCCTCTGACAGGGCCAAAGGAGGGTGCAGATCTGAGCCTCTATATCACACATTAGAAACAAGGCATTAATCGAAAATGAACACACTAAGAATACTCCCAAGAGATACTTGTTTTCACCTGTGTATTCATGTAAACACACAAAGTAACACACATTTATCTTTTTAAAATACTACAGTAGATTAGTCCACTTGTTTCCCTCCTCTCTCTGGCACTTTATTTTACTGTGATCAGTGAGTCTCTCACCACCCTCCATAGACGCAGCTAATGTTTTCACATTCCTCAGCAATCTTAAGAAACTTAAAAAAAAAGTAAGTATAGATTAATTAGAAAGAATAAGGGTTTTCTGGTCTTCCCATTTTAAAAATAAGCTCTTCCATATCATAATCATATAAACAAGTCCTCACTGTTGTCATCCGAAAAATGAAGTTATTATATAACCCTATCCCCCTTTGAGAAGATGTTTTGTTTGTTTGTTTGTTTTTTGGTACCGGGGATTGAACTCGGGTCCTTGCACTTGCAAGGCAGGCAACTGAACCGCTGAGCTAAATCCCCAGCCCAAGATGATGTTATTTAAACAGCTTGAGAACAAACAGAGAGTCTGGCTAAACAACAACAAAACAAACCAACAACTGCAGAGCCAGGCATAGTGGCAAGCATCCCAGCACACAAGAGGCTTATGAGTTCAAGGCCAGCCTAGGGAATGTAGCAAGATTCTGTCTAAAAAACAAACAAACAAAACTATAATTTAAAGTCCTATTAAATCCCTAAAGATATCTTCACAGAATGCTAACAAATGTCAGCTTAGTATTGCTACTTATACAGTGTATTACTGCTACTTACACAAGTTTTAAGAGGACAGTGTGTATTAAAAAATAACAAAAAAGCCAGGCATGGTGGCGCCTGCCTGTAATCCCAGCACTCGAGAGGCTGAGGCAGGAGGATCGCTGTGAGTTCAAGACCAGCCTGGGCTACATACTGAGTTCCAGGTCAGTCTCAACTACATAGTGAGACCCTGTCTCAAAAAAAGAGAGAGATAACAAAAAAATTAGATCCAAAACAAACAAAAAATTTGTATGAGGTATGACTTACCATGAGAATTTTTTGAATTGACTGATTAATTGACTGGTACTGGGGATCAAACTCAGGACTTTGCACTTGTCAGGCAGGTGCAGCTGATGCTGAACTACATCCTTGGCCCACCATGAGATTTTTATAAAATCAATGGAAACTATTTTTTTAAAAATATAAACAATGATGAAACAAGGACAACAGAAAGTGGCTCTGGAAATTAATTTTATTGGTAAGAGCAAATGGCAACAACAGAAAACAATGCCCATGAGTTTTGGCAACACTACAAAGCTGAGTGAAAAGGAATGTCATGAATATTTTTGTAATTAGAGAAAACAAGCATATATTTTAGTTTTCTGAAATGGTTAAGAAAAACTGGAAATTAAAAATCCCTTCTATAATGTGAGTTTCAATGTTACTGATGGCAATGTTTTCTTTGCCAGCCCCTCCCCAAGACAGGGTCTCACTACATTATGCTGCTCCTAAATTCAATATGTAATCTGGTCTGGCCTTGAACTTGTGATCTTCTTGGCTGATAGTTCAGGTATGGACCACCATACCCAGTTCTTTTCACATTTTCTAAAAATCTTAAATCATTATGTATAACAGATATAAATATGGCAAGTAAAAGTAAATTATACCCATAATTAGTTTTAAAAACAAGTTTATAGTTTCAGACAAATACACTTAATACTGCCAATTTCAAAATTCTCTTATTAATGTCAGAGCAACTAAAGAATCCATCAACAATAATGCAGCTGTACATTAAAAATGAATTCTCTCCACTAGTAGTACATGTATTACTCAAGAAAATACAAACTAGCAAAGGTAGACTCTCCTTCAGGAGCCAGGAAAGAAAAATAATTTAAAGCCTATATTTATCTTTAAGCAAAATTAAATGGTAGATTTTTTAAAAATTAAATGTAGGTTTCTGAATGACTGTGTAATTTACCTTGCAACCAACAACAGAAATGATTGGGGAGGTGGGAGAGGGGGAAGGAAAGGGAGATAGAAAAAGGAAGTTTTAATTAACTACTTTTCATACTATACATTGCTAGCACTGAGCTAACTCTTTATACTGTTACAACGTCTTAATACAAATAATGTTGAAGTGAAAGCTGCTAAAACATATCAGTAAAACAAACAAAAACTAAGACCTCTGCCCTTACAAAGCCTACTCCAGAAGAAATCTGGAATTTTGTGTAATTGTGTAATGTTATGAAAAAAGAAAAAGGTCAAGCTAGGTAAAGAATTCAGTAGTTGACGGGGAGAAGAGGCATCTAGTTGTGACATTAAGAAGGATGGTCAGGACCAAAGCAAATACTGTAGTCAGGAAGCTACTGAATGCTCTACATTCTGTATGCAGACAATCATGTATGAAAATGCACCTTCTCTTGCTATTGTTGGTTTAATGCTAGAAACCATAGTGAGAACATTCATATTCAAAAATAAGTTATTTTTTAATCATCGTAAACTTTTCTCTGAAATATATTCTTGTATTTCCCATATATTGTACAGTTGTAATTCAAAAGATGGTAAGCATCATTTGTTTTAAATATTTAGAATATTATGGAAGCCATCATAAAGTTATCAAATGCTGAAGACAAGACACACAAAACCAGAGCACTCTTCACAAATGAACGTTGTATAGTCAGTCTGCTCAGTCCAATTATGTTTCATACAAGCATTCTGACAAAGAATGCCAAACTTTCCCAAGACATGATACTGGAGGTGGAAAAAACAAAAGTCACTGAAATAGGACTATCTCATCAACTTAAGACCAACTACAGTTTAGATGGCAGGCTCCCTTTTTTTTAAATATCCACAATTGCTTACAATGGGCCTACTAGTACACAGATTCACCATTACTACTTTAAAATACCTTACTAGGTGAAATGGGCAGGGGATAGCTAAAGCATCTTGAAACATTGAAGCCCCCTCTCTTGGGTTTTATTTTGAGTTTTTTACATTCATTGCACTCAATATTCTTCAGTAGAAGAAAAATAAAGAGGTAGCAAGAGAGACTACTTTGTGAGAATGCACAAAGCTAGAATCCTAAGAGTACTTTCTGTAACTGTGTCTGCTATAATACTAAGAACAAAGCTCAGGATTCCAGTGACAGATGGGAGGGAAGAGCGGTCAGAGTTTAATGGGAAGAAGGGAAATAAATAAGCCAAACCCTGTCTAAGATATTCTTCTAGATAGGATTCAGAAGAGGAAAATACCTTTCCTGCAAGAGAATTAAAATTCTATTGTCATATTTCCCTGACCCCTTGATCTCATGTCAAAGTTAATCAATCAGCTGAAGTACTATGACTCAGAATCAACGGTCCAAGTACACAAACTAAGGAGGCCACACCTGGCACCTGTTTATGGAGAAGGATATAGGACAAGAAAGGCTGGCAAAGCAGTATTTGGCCAGTCTATCTAGGGGCTACCGTCTTTGCATCCCCGCATACTACCATCACCATCACCATGTGACCTGCTCAAATGCAAGGAAACAGAAGGTACCCTGTCCAAATGCCAATCCTGGTTTAAAAACACCAAGCTCCACTGAGAAATCACTATCATCTCACAAGTGTCTTGTGAGCATAGCTTCCAAGGAACCCCACCCACCAAGGGACACCTCAGCTATAAGAAGGAACCACACCTTGCCCCTAGGAGTTCATTCCCACTCTAGACACAGTTCACATGTCAGAGATCATCTCACCATACACCCCACAGAGGCTGTTAATACTGCTAGGAGTCAACTTTCATGCTTCAAATGCATCTGAGCTGTGAAGGGGGGGGGGAGCAGCAGCAGCAAGCTACAGTCATCTGTCCATGGGGGAGGGAAGGAAGAGGCGTGAACTCTTTCTCATAAGAAAACTGGGTTTTCACCCCAACCCTGCCTTCTAGGATGCCAATGGTCTCAGGGCTAGAAGTTAAACTCTCACGGTACTGACTCACCTCCTCTAAGTAATGACTGGGTTTGACTGACTGACCCTTGAGACTCTATGAAGTCTTTGGTTTTTTTTTGAGACAGTCTTACTAGGTAGCTCAGGCTGGCCTTGAACTTGTAGCAATCCTCCATTGTAGGCCTACACCACCACATCCAACCCTTTGAAGCTTTCTAAAAAAATAACAAATAGGTACACAGAAAAATAGGCCCTTAAAGAAGTATTTCCTGCCCTCTGAGAAATAGCACAGAAATAAAACCAAACCAGCAAGCTAAAAATATAAAAATAGAAAGAGCATAGAAATGTTTGATTATACAAAAGAAGGGAAGTTTATAGTTCAAACCCCTTTAGACTGAGGCATAAAGAGGGTACGTTCTTATTCTTACCATGTTTCAAAATGAATATATTCAACTCATTGCTTGTACACTTAGTACATTTAAACCTCAAATGTTACAGTAATCATCACTGTCCTTGTTTCAAAAACAAGTTAACTGAGTAGGTCCTACCTGTACCAAGGTAGGTAAAAAGCACAAAGAGCCATCAGTCACAACCTCGTAAAATTCCTAACCACTTTCCTCTAAGTGTCTCGGGTCTAGAGGCTATGCTGCCCAAAAGACAGCCAAGAGTTTTTTAAGGAAGTATCATGTTAATAATAGGGAAGAGGTCTGATACGTCCACGTTCTTACTATTTCAGGTAGGAGATGGTACAATAAGGACATGGGGAACCCACTAGAGGATGGGATAATTATACCAACAAGTGAATACTGCATTCTTACCATTCACCCAACCCAGCTTCCAAATACTTTAGACCTACTGTGTTTTATATGACCAGTTTGTAAAATACTATTTTAATTATGTTTAATGGTTTCAAAAAGATACATATAGAAATCAAGTACTTTCTACAATGAGAACTAGATTAAACTTAATTTACATAGCCAATATTCAACAGAGACTGGAATGTTAAAACACATATCCTCCTCCTTGAATGTTTTCCAGAACGTCTTGGAAAGCACAAAATACTCTGCTACATACCTCCTTAATATCTGCTATCTAGCCCCAAGCCTGAAAGTCATCCATCCCTTTCTTCTTGCTCCCTCATCTGCCATATCAGTCATCAACTTTTGTCAAATCTAAGTGTCTCTAAGATGCCTACTGACTCCTTCGATCCCAAACTCTACCTACACTCCTCACTCCCTGTTCTTCTATAACTTTAGAGAAATCTAAAGGCCAACGCGGACATTTCAGTTCTTAAGTGTGACAAATAGGTGTTCACACCGTTGTGTCATACATACCTGCTTCAAACTTGTTACAACACTGGCACATGATGCATCTAATGTGGAAAAAGGTCCAAATTAATCCTAATATGCACGAATCCCAACTTTTATAATTGAGCAGGACTTAAAAATTCAGCTTTGTATCTATCTGATTTTGAAGCAAAAAAGGCAAAAGTGGATCTTTGCTGGAATGCTGCTTAGCAAGTCATTTAAGTAGCAACGGTTGAGATGTCTTTGGCCTCCTTACTAACTTAATCCCAAACTATTCAAAGTAGCGACATGCACATACAAATATTCTGCAGATAAAAGCTACCACATTTAACATCTCTGGCTGGTAAAAACTAAAGAGAAATCCATTTAGAGGTGAAGGTAGGGAAGCTATTACATTTCTGAAAATAAAGATGTAGTATTTCTTCTGGCTTCAACACAATGTCTCCTACAATAACAGCCATTTTTCAACCAATGCACTGAACTTGACAAAATTCACAATACTAAGGACAATGGATTAAAAAGAACCTTCCTCTCAATTTGATTAAAATAGTATTTTTAATTACTGGAAGCCAATTAGACATAACTTCTCATGTCTTCCCAAGTATTTCAAAATTATGTGTAAATTTCATCTCCCACCCCAAATCTGCTCCTTTTCTAATTCCTACCTCTGTGTATAGCTTCATCCAGTTACCCAAGTTAGAAATTCAGCTCCTTCCCCTCCTCAGATTTTGTACAGCTATCCAATCACCAAACCATCAATTTCTATTTCTAGGGGGCTACTGCACACATTTATTTCTAGTTCCCCGAATTCCAGATCTTCCAATGGCTTTGCATGTGCTTGCTATGTGCTGAAGCTGAATCCTAGACCACTCATACCTTACCTAAGCTTCACTACTGATATGGGTATTCTCTTTATATGTATGCCTGTCTCCCTTCTGGAAGGTATGTTTTTTGAAAGATACCTTTATTCAGCTTTATAACCTAAGCACCTAGAATAATGCCTGAAGAATATGTTAAACTATACCTCTCCCACAAAGTATTGGTGGTTCAAAATGAAGACCTTCTCTCCACAGGTAGTACTACAAAACATAATGACAGTTGTTGGACTCAAAACGTGTCAAATTCAGAAAAACAGAAATAAAATGTTCCAAAGACGGTAAGAATGAGAATTATGAATAATTAAACACATTTAGCTCTGAAATATTGTATTATCTAAAGTTACAAGGGGAAGTGCGAAGGGTAGGGGAAAGGAAATAAGGGAAAAGAAAAAATAGGAGAAATGGAAACAAAGTCTTTGTAAAAAGGAGAGGGTTGAGGGGTGAAGGGAGGGCAGGAGAATGGGCAAAAAAAAATGAGAACCAAGATGTCATGCAAAGGTACAAGATCCCAATGATGAATGTAACCGTACTGTATACTTTAAAAGTACCAATAAACTCAATAAAAAAATAAATAAAGTTGCCGGGGATTTAGCTCAGCAGTTCGGTGGCCTGCCTTGCAAGCACACGGACTCAAGTTCAATCCTCCATACAAAAAAAAAAAAAAAAAAAAAAAAAATAAAAGTTATATTTAATCATTAGTAGGTTCTACATCTTGATAAAACACTATAAAAGCATTTAAATCAGTGCTACTGTTGCAAATGTGAATGCAAGAATGTAACAACTATTACTCTTAAAAGGCACTCCTTAAGTTTTCTCTTTCAGAGTTTGTGTTTTGATTTTGATCCTGATTACTTCAGGTCAGAATAGTGTAACTGAGAAAGCAAAAGAGAATTATATAAAAGATTTATCAATAAACGTGAAGTTCACTCTTCTTTTTCACTGCTCTATAGTTAAGGGGAATGAGGGAAAACTGGGCAATCAGACAGCTGAACTTGGGCAGGGTCTCCTTTTATCATGAATTTCTAGCCTCAGGGTCCTGGAAAGAAAGACATATCTGCTCTGCTGGCATCAAAACAAAGAGAGAATGCAGATCCCATCATACATCTATCTAATGAATATGGCTAAACAGTGTCAAGTCTTTTAGGTTTATTGGTAGCCACCATGATGTGGAACCCAAAAAACAAAGTATATAATTACATGCCTATCTCATTGTTTCTACTGAACATATCCACATTAATTTCTTGATTTTCCTCTCCTAATAATCTTAATATTTTATGTCTTTTTTCAAACTAAATTCCCTATTCCTTCCCACATTCCTTTTTAAGGCCAGGCCATTTCCTTTGTAAACTTTACAAAATACAAAACATAAATGACTAACACTTTACAGTTTTCCATGTTTATTCACATACTGACTTATTCAACAATACTTGCACTGGCTTTCATTTCACAAATTCATTCATGCTTTCAAATACCAGGAAATAAAGCAGACAAAAATTACTCAAAGACCTGCAATAGAAATGTAAAGGCACGGTTACTTAATGTTCTAAACTTGAGTCTACTCTCTATAAAATGAAATTGTAACACTACCTACTTTCAGCAGAGTGTTATAAGAATGCAAAAAGATAATGCATATCATGTAAGTATTTGGGAATTAAAAAGCACTTAAATGGTAGACATTGTTTTTTCTAGATTTATTTAATTGAAAATTGATCTTTTATGAGATTTGTGTATTTGCTACAATAAACTGTCAATCTATACATCCAAATTGAATGTTTAAAATGTTATGTGCACTTATGAACTTTGAGCAGCTTATTTTATAAGAACAAAAATGTGACAGTTTTGAAACACATTATATAACTACTCTGATAATGGGATATTATTTCTAGATTACATATTTGACATTAAAAAAAGAGAGAGTGGCAAAGATTACTAGAATGAAAACTAGGAATGGGCCAATGTTGTGGCCCTTAAGCTCGTACAAGGGCATGGACAGATACTCAGGAAGCAGAAGGGTCAGGTGAGCCCAGGAATCTGGGGCCAATCTGAGCAACATGCTCAGAATATACTGAAGAAAAAAAATTTAAAGTTTTGGTTTCTAAAAAATGATCCTCTACAGTTTTAATTAGCATCACAACCAAACCTTTCTAATTGTTACTATGTTAATCAAATGTCCATTTCTAAAGACAAGTATCAGTCCAATACTGTTATTCCTTTCCCTCAGCTTCCAAATACAGTAGTACCTGAGAAGCAAATGGAACTATTGCCTAAATCATAAACACTGAATTTCTGGGAAATACATTGTCAGTGACAGCAATTTTAAGGCTTTACTAAGCCTTCCTCATAATTATACAGTATTTAAAAGTACTATATTTTGGTTTTGACAGCCACATAGATTGCTATATGAATAGTGTGGAATTATTTTTCTTCTAGATATGACATCAAAATAATTTGAAAATGGTAATAGGAAATAACTTGCAGATTCCCACTCAAGGTAGTTCCTTCTCAATTCTCCCAGATGTTTACTATCTGAGACAATTTAATGCACTCTATAAATTCTTTTAATGTGCATCTTCCCTGGTAGAGCAATAAAGATGTTAACACTCTGATTCAATCTAACTTCAAATTTCATTAATATAGTGAGTGATTTTCTAATTTGAGAAGTCAGCACTTAGAGCTTTAATAAATTCTACTTTATTTCCATGTCATTGATTGGGAGAAATATAAAACAAAAATTAGCTATTTCTGACAAAGGACAGAAAAGCAGTACTGAAGAGAAGAACTGTTTCACTGGAAGGAAATAAAGTGAATATCAATCAAAAGCTGCTGGGCATTCTAACTCACAAACTTAGTATTTTTCATATTATGCAAGGTAGCAAGCAATCTGAAAAGAGTCTAGGACTGATGGTCATTTATAGATTTCTAAATAGTATATGCTTTGTGGTTACTTTTCCTTTCCCTACTTATCATTTTATCTACCATTCCCAGCCAGAACTCAATGCTTATTTGTAAAATATTCAGGCAATAACTACCGTAACTTAGAGGATACTATAGTAGTTCCACTCTAGGCCAGTAAAGAAATTCCAGCTCACAAAGTTGGTTCTTTAAAAACATTCGATCCCATAAAGTCTATAGAAGTCTATAGACTTCTTGAACATTCATTCATTCCATCCATTCATTCAGTTATTTAAGGGCCAGCATGGATTCTACATTCTAATGGGGGAGCAAACAGTCCAGTTATAACCATAGTATTACGCATGCAAAATGCCACTAAGACATTATCAAGCATATTTTATCTAAGTAAGTTGAAGGCATACAATAAATACTAACACTGAAACACCAAAGATACAAATGTGCAAAGGTAACCACAAAAAGTACCAAAATACAGTACAAGTTCTTAATATTGCTGTAACATGACTAATAGGCACAGCTAGAAAAGAACCCTCAGTTACATGTATTCATTATATGTACTCAAACTGCCAGAGTATGTAAGAAAAAAAAACCTGAAATTTCTATTTTTCAGAAAACCAAGAGCTCAAAAATGCACTTCTTTGGGCTAGGTATTTAGCTCAGTGGCACCACAGCTGCCTCCTCACAAATAATGTTTTCTCACAGAAACTCACTAGTTTTTGGTTAAACGTGGTGGTCCCATTTCCCTTATTTTTCCAATGAATGGTTGCATTCCTATACATTTAGAACTTCTCTTTTGTTTTGTTTTGTTTTGTTTTTTGAGACAGGGTCACACTATGTAGTTGAGACTGACCTGGAACTCACTACGTAGCTCAGGCTGGTCTCGAACTCACAGTAATCCTCCTGCCTCTGCCTCCCCAGTACTGGGATTACAGGCATGTGCCACCACGCCCGGCTCTTGATTTGATTTTAAACAGACAGATATACTGGGAGAAGGAAGGTTATCAAACAAAACGTCTGTTTACTGGGCCGGGGATTTTTCTGCTTCCTGCCTTGCAAGTGCAAAGACCCAAGTTCGATCCCCAGTACCAAAAAAAAAAAAGTCTGTTTACTAAGTGCCATATATAACAATATTGTAATTGCCCTGAATCGGCAAGTGCAAAGTGCTACACTGGGGATTTACATCTGGTTGGAGGTAACAGTACTGGGCAGCAGTTTTGTGGACCATTTTAGATCATACTTCTATGACCACTTACTGTTGCTCTAGAATCAATGCCATACTTGGA